AAGAATAGGTATAATGTTATAAATCGTTAAAGTGCACCTACACTCAAAAAATTTTTTTCGCTTAACGAAGTAAGCTTATTTTTTTGAGTATTTCTGCGCAAAAATTTTTTTATTTGCTCAAATCTTCAATTTTCTATGCCCAGTCAAAATACGGAAAATCGGCCGCCATCTTGCCCCACGACCGAGTTTAAAGAAGAATGGCTCTAGCGGGTAATGTGACGTCAAATCGAGAACACGAAAGTCTGCATCTCACACATTTTCACTTGTTTGGGAAGATTGTCGTCGATATCGTCCGAAATATGCCGACTAGGTGTGTTGTATGAAGATTGTATGGAGCGCGATACCCTCTTGCAAATTTCGCACGTTGCTACATCCTTCTACAACACACTTAGTCGGCATATTTTCGGACAATTATCGACTACAACCTTCCCAAACAAGTGAAAATGTGTGAAAAGCAGACTTTCGTGTTCTCGATTTGACGTCACATTACCCACTAGAGCCATTCCTCTTTAAACTCGGTCGTGGGGCAAGATGGCGGCCGATTTTCCGTATTTTGACTGGGCATAGAAAATTGAAGATTTGAGCAAATAAAAAAATTTTTGCGCAGAAATACTCAAAAAAATAAGCTTACTTCGTTAAGCGAAAAAAATTTTTTGGGTGTAGGTGCACTTTAAGTCGAGAACAGTGGACACATTGAATGGGAGAAACAATTCTAAAACCAAAGTATACAGAACTTTGGACGAAAGTTGTAAAATATCGTAAATCTACAAACTTATCTACTTTTTCTGTGCTTATTAATTCTGTCAAATACATATTTTTATATTTTCTAATGGCTATAGTAAATAGAACATAGCTTATTAAGCGTTCCCATGGAAGTTGGTTTATTGCACTTACCGCTAAATAAAAGGAATCATGAAAAAATAATGATAATTATAATAGTAGTGTTATATCGAAAACCTCGATTTAACGAATTTGCAGAAAACTCCCAACCAAAATGTTCGTTACATCGAGGTATGGTTAACAAGTTTTATTGTTGTCGTTGTTTTTCATTTGTTTTTGTGTGGTGTGAAGTTGTCCTTAATGTCTGTATGAAGCTACAGTACACTGTACAGGTCCATACATAGCTACAGCACCGGAAACTTAACGGGTCAAATTAATTTTAACAAAATGTCATAATGAAAAGGATAATGAACAGTGCAACCGAACAGGAAACTAAAACAAAAGAAGACCACTTTACTATACCACTAAAATTGCTAATGAAGATGCCCAATCAAAAATTCTTCCAATGAAAATTTTCTCACTTTTGGCATTCTTCATTTTACTGCTGAAATTGTAATTAAGACGCTTATTCAAAAATTCTTTAATCGCCTCACATTTTGTCTTTCGATCCGTGAAAATGTGACTTTCATTCAAGAGAAGGAGCGCGGGAATTCTCCGCTTTCTTTTTCTCATAATAAACCGTGTCGGAATAGCCCTTTTACTGTTCCCGGCGCCATATTGGATATGTAACCGCGCAAAAATGATAGCGAGGTTAGTGTAAAGTCGCGTTGCGAGTTTTAGTGAGAGTTTAGTGAAATGTGGTGGTGCTCTGTCCTTTTCATCGAGATATTTCGACAATGAACGATACGTTCCCTACGCAGGATATTCCTCCTTCTTCTTCGAAAAGAAGAGGAAGACACTGTGCCGCTTTTTGGTTGTGCTAATAGCTATTATGAAACAACAGGCAATCCAACAGGTCTGCATCTCTTCTCGTTTCCGAATGACTTCCAACAGTGAATCAGATGGTGCAATCTCCTGAAGCGCCAGCATAGAAAGGACGGATTCTTCATCACAAAATCAACTTTTTTGTGCTCAGAACATTTCAAAAA